AGACCAGAGGTTCTCAAAGTTTTTCTTACTGCATACCCCCTTCCAAATTTACCAGCTGCCAGTGTACCCCTATCAGCACACATTTTATATTTTAACCCCTTAAATGCCGATTATTGAAAACTGAAATCACCACTGATTACTGAAAATGAAAATTAAATCACTATTACACAATTTCTCCAACATACCCTGCAGATGTGTCTTGCATACCCCCAGGGGTACAGGTACCACAGTTTGGGAACCCCTTGTAAAGACCAATCCTCAGTGTAACTCCCCTGGTTTAATGAGAAAGAATGCTCTCTTTTTTAAATCCCTTTACAGTGGCATCTCAGCTAGGTGTGTATACACAACCAGTCTATATGGCTATAAAGTAGTTGTGTGTTCTGGTACCAGACCACCAGATGGCAAACATAAAAAATTGCCTAGTGTCAAGACAAAACCACTTTTACAGTCTTAGAATAACAATTAATTATTTATGCCAAGGAATGTTAGACAAATCCAGCAATGATCTTTGCTATCAGTTGAAAATTATTACAGTACTAATATTTCAAAACTTAAGCCTCGTCACTGCACTGATGCACCATCCATAGGTTGGAATTTCACAAAATACATCAGATTAACATGGGAAAGACCACACACACTAAGATTCAGTCAGAAGCTATCATATTTTTCTTCCCCAAATCCAACAGCATTTCCATTCAAAATGTAACAGTACTTGGTAAAGAGGTGGGAAAGCAATGAAGGGGACTAGAAAAAGTGACGCATCAGCATTTCCTCCCCACACACAAGAACAAAGGCCATTCAGTATTTGTTTAACCTTATTCTCTTCCACGCCTTCACATAGTATTCAGTAACCGAGTGAATGCCCTTCACCTTCCTGTTGGGATATTCAGTGCACAGCTGAAATATTTCAAAGAACAACTTACAGATGATCCCTGAAAAATCACAGCAATTTAAAAAAAAAAAAAAAAAAAGCTGCCCTCTCCTGCTCGTACAGACAAGGTACGTACAGACAAATACACGTCCTGTATTTTCGGATCCAGTCTCTCAACATTCAACTTAATTACTGTAATTTTTTAGTGGAACCTGAGGAATCATCAGGATTTATCACGCTGTTCTTGGGATAACTTATTTGTATTGTATTAGCGCACAGAGGCCTCAGTTAGAAATCCAGCTCACTGGGCCATGTGCTAGACATATGTAACAGACAGTTTTATAATACAGGCTTCTTACAATCATGCAAGAAGCAAGGAGATTTTTTGGTGACACCCTTTATTGGACCAACTGTATAGTTAGAAGAATGTTTCAGGCAAAATGCCCCTCTTCACTTTAGGTCAGGATCATGGATAAGAAAATTACTAGGTTTCTCCTCAGGCAGAGAACTAAACCTTTTGAGCTGAGGCAGGATAGCAAAGTCTGGGGCAAAACCCCAGGAAGAAGTCTATTCTCAGTTACTTAAAGCCTCCTCAGAATGTTGTCCCTGGATCCCACACAGGGACTCCATTTTCTGTGGGTCTTCTGCTAGTAAGTTAATTTGAAACATCACTCACTCCTCCTTCCAGGAGCCAGAGCGTTGCTTCTCTTCCATCCCCTTTTCTGACAATTTCTGATGCCAAAGCAGCAGAATGAGACGCAGAGTATTTTGACTACCCTTCCCTAACCTCCATATTTTACTGAGCATGGAGCCCCCCTCCCCATCTGCTCTGCTAAAATGCAGAAAAATTAAACATCTAGAAATCCACAACCTCTCCACGACCTTTTTGAATTTGGCAGCACCACTGGTTGAGAATCGATGCTGTACTGCCTTCACTTCCCGCAGTCACTCTCAGCTAGGGAGCTGCTGGACAATCCTACCTACATTAGAGTTTTCTGATCAACCAAAAGCAGGCCAGCCTGACTGTTTGTAGCACCCATGTTGTGGCATCTTTGGAAGGGGCTGACGGCACCCCAAAATACCACAACGCTCCAGCGGAGAACCACTGATCTAATTCCACGCTGCAAGTTGAAGCTCAGGGGTGGGTAAAATGCGGTATGTTAGGCCATTCTATCTGGCCCGCAGGGCCCCTAAAAAAGTTAGAAAATTAATATTTATCTGCCCCTGGCTGCCTGTCATGTGGCCCTCAATGGCCTGCCAAAACTCAGTAAGCGGCCCTCCGCCTGAAACAATTGCCAGCCCCTGTTCTAGCTTCATCTGAGGTCACAAGTTCACCCAGCTTGTGGCAAGTGAGCCACTCCAATCCTCTCCCCCTGCCCGATCTTTCAGCTCCCAGCCCTGTGCTCCCTGCCTGATCAGCTGCTTCCCACTTCCTTCCCTGTGCTCTGCCCGGTCTGTCACGTGCCCCACAGGCTGGCCATGCCACTTGTGAGCCAGGTCAGGGGTGGTCAGGGGTGACGCATCTGCTACTAGATAAGGCGACATCTATCCAAAATTAAAAGCAAGGGAATACAGAATTACAAAATACTTCACATCACACACATTTCCACCACTTACTCCAAAACCAAGCTTTTCCAAATAAGACAAGAGGCAAGTCTCATCGGTGGCAACTTACTACATTCAGAGACAGGCCTTTTAAAGAACAAAAAAAAAAAAAAAAGTTGCTTTACTGCTTGCGCCCTAAAACAGGCCCCCTCACTAGCCACGGCCCTTGTCCCTGAATCCCTGGCACTTTCGGTGTCCAAGCAGATGGAAACCAGTCAAACAGAGTAGGACCAACCCTTGAGGAAGAGAGATGAGCCTACAGTCAGAATTGCCAATGCGCAATACAAGGCCACAACAGGACACTCTTGGAAAGCTAGAAACGCCTGAGAAATTAGAGTTGGTTGTAAATGCCTTTACCTGCATAGGGGCGTAGTAGCTCTAAGGGACCACTGGTGCACTATGTCTCCCTGCCCTGCATGCAGCTGTATTTACTCACAGGAGCTGGCCCTGAGGCTGTTCCGAGCGACACCAAGGTTTGGGGGAAAGGGGGCAGAGGGGTTTCGAGGTGGCTCCCCCCCCCCCCCGGCGGATCAAGCCAGCTCCTCGGAGCATCAACTCACAGCAGCGAAGATCCCGCTGTCGGCGCGGCCTTGCGGCCAAGGCTTCTGGGAAAGGGGAGCCCAGGAGCCAGCGGGGCCTGGCCGGGGCCTCCGCG